TTGAGTAACATCTTGAACGTTGCAACAGCTTCATCCACCTTTTCCACATCTCCACCTCGCACCAGTAATGGGTTAATTTCATTCATTCTGCGGGTGCATGCTCCAAGCTTTCCTCTTCGCGATTGGCTGAGAGTTTTATATCTCTCCTCTGCCGCGGCAACATCAGCTGGAGGTTTTTCAGGATCCATTGTTTATTTGAGTTTTTCTTCACTTAATCCACATGAAATAAAGTCATTAATATTTCCAAGAACAGCTCTTCGCGAGTCCTGTTTTTGTGCCAAATATTCCTTTAACGTCCGCTTCCTGGCTGCGTGATAGTTCGTTAATGCATTTCATTGTTTAAGCATTCCAACAGCAATTGCGGATTATCTTCAGTAAGCATCAGGATATCACTGGATGGATTTCCAGTTTCGTTTTGTCAAACATCCGTAACTATGCACACATCAGTACTTGCATTGTTTGACGAAGCGATCCCGTTGTAAACAGCGTCTCATTCATAAGTTCCGGGCCGGCGTGGTTTACTCACGGCCTCCTCCTCGGCACTTTAGAACGTCCGTTCGCTGTTTCCAAAGCAGAGCTGAAATCCACACGAATCCTGTGCTTGTCCTTCGAAGTCTTTATCCACAGTTTACGGAGTCTTTTGACTATTGTGGTGGCGTTTTAATCCTTGTCTACCATTTAATAGCCACCTCTATCGGGGTTGTGGGTTTTGACGCGCCTCTCTTTGTTTCCAAACAATTCAGCGGAGATCGTAGTTGAATCAGATGAGCTTTATTCACTGATCCACACATACATACAGGAGGACACATTTCTTCGCTTCATAGTAACTCAAAAGTGTATCATTTTCCAAAGTAACAAAAAGAACACGTTCAAAAGACTTTTCCATTTCCCCGTCTATCACCCCCAGCTGTGTCCTATCAACCTACCATATATAGGCATAGCCATGCACGTGATACTGACGCACATATAACAAATAATAAGTGAGCCTTAAATTAATGCATTTTAAACCATAATGTGACTCACAAAAATAGCCGATAATTTACAGTATAATCTAATTTATATTATTATTAAGCCCAACATTCAGACAATAATAACAAAAGGTAAAATGGCTCTAACACCATCAAACGGGCTTTTAATCCACTCCTTTGAACTCCTAACGTTTGAAATGATAACGAAGCTTCTTCAAAGCCTCGACTTTATTGGAAAAAGATTAAACATGATCCACTCGTGAAAAGAGAGTCTGCGTTAGAAGAGAGATATATCTGTGAGGCGTTCACTGACCCTGACCCTATAGGGCAGGGGTCCCCAAACTTTTTCCTGTGAGGGCCACATAACATTTCCCTTCTCTGATGGGGGCCGGGTCAGTTTGTAACAGAAAAAGTGTGACGATCGCATGGGTGTCTAAACGTAAACATTTATTGTTTTCTAGAAAGCCACACATAACCAAATATTAATAACCCTTTCCGGGATCTTCACAGAAAAAAAGTCAGGAAATAAATAATAACACTATTAATGAAATAAATAACACTATTTATGAAATAAATAATAACTAAATAACCCTCTCTGGGTTCTTCACAGAAAAAAAGTCCATTGAAAATTACTGTAACTTTCTGTTGTGCCGTGCACAATCTTAACAGGTAAAAGTTTAGCTTAGTAGTCAGAGCAGAATCTCTCAAAATAAACGTGGATTTACGTAAAAAAAACTATTTTTTCGGGGTTCGGGTGTTTTGTTTGATTTTAAACAAACAAACAAAGTCTTGGCTTTCAGAATATGAAACTTTTATTTCCAATTTATTTATTTCTCACTCGCAATCTGCTCTTCCGCAGCGCCGCCCCCCCCCCCCTCACTCCGCTGAAATTATGAATGTAAGAGTATAGTAATCATACGGCACGGCAGGGTCCGTTACAGTTTGTTTTCATCTGATTTCAATTAAACAAAGTCTTGGCTTTCAGAATATTAAACTTGTTTCGGCAAATTCAGATGATAAATACAACTTTGAAGCTTCGGCATGATTACAAGCGGAGAACGGAGTAACTTAACGTCACAGCAGGCATAACAACAGCCGGTGTTTCTCGTGAGTGTTTTCCCCGGGAAACAAACACAATACACACAAACGCAAAATTACACAATCACACACACTCACACGCACACGTATACACACACACTCGCGAGCTTCCCCTCCAAACGAAAATATCTTCCCTCGGTAGTATTTTGATCATTTGCTAATAATCAATCAGATCGATGGATTCCAGAGAAGAGACAACTTTGAAGGCCTTTTTCTCAAAATGATGACTCTGTGACAGTCATTATATAATGTGACATATTTCGCTTAATATTTGAAATACAAAAACAATCCTGATATCATTAGAAAGCTAGGAATCTCCTCTTTCCAACAGTGTATACAACTCAAAAGGTGTCTTCGGGTCAATGCGACTGATTTCGATAGAGCAGGTCACAACATTTTGACAGGGGCTAGTCTAGGATTCGCGTGGCCAGACTGAAAAACAAAAAAATCATAATGCGTCTCTGGTATTGTTCAGGGGGCCGGGCCAAATGTGGAGGCGGGCCGTACCCGGCCCGCGGGCCTTAGTTTGGGGACCACTGCTATAGGGTATAAAGAAGTGCCTGTTTACGGTGATCATCGGTAGAGACGTCTTTTTAATGCTGGGATTGATTTTAAGGCGATCATATTTTATATTTCTTCTAAATGACTCGCTGCGCAGAAGTCTCATTTCACCTCCTAAAAACACATGTTCAGAGACTGTGTTGGTTTTAAAGAAGAACAGATGGTCACGAACAAGTGAAGGTCAGCATACTTCAGGACGACAGGAGGAACATATAAAGACCATGTGACTCACTGATGTGCTGTAAACACCTCTGATTGGTTTGTGCGTGTGACACAGAGCCAGTGTGCTTGGTGAAGTGGAACCAGTGAAGAGGTAAAACGCTGAGTCGTGTAACAGGCTTCTGGAATTGCTTTTGCTCCACTCCATCAACGTAATAATGGGTCATTAAGTGTTATAATTGATTGACTCTCGGCCTGGAAGTGTCAGTCTTCACAATCATTTTGTTCCACACAAAAGGATTCTCACACTTTGAGATTACCCTGAGGTTAAATTGTAATAAATGTGCTGATCCTCATTAGGTCGATGTTTTCAGTTCTATTGTTACCTGCAGATCTAATCCCACCACGTCTTCAATCCTCTTGCTTTTCCAGATGTTCTTCGAGCTTTCAATTGAACACGGACGCTCAACCATCAGTGTATGCATTGATGCAAGTATTGATACTCTGAATATTATGATTATAATACTAATTGTGAAGGAATACTGGGATAATACACTCACATAACACACACACACACACACACACACACACACACACACAAACACACACACACATACACACACACAAACACACACACACACACACACACACACACACACACACACACACACACACACCATTTTTCCTTTTGAATTTGCAATAAGCGGAACCAGAGGAAATGAAAAAGTGTCGCTTTCAATCACAGACATAAATCTGAAAGGTGTCAGGACCTTTTATCTCAATGTGAGCACACACACACACAAACAAACACATACACACACACAAAAACACACACAAACACACTCGTGTTGCTTAATGGTTTTGTTTTTTGTCTTTCCTTTTGACGAGGTCTCATGAATATACATGAAGTCTTTTCAGTGTTTGTTTATCTGACGCAGACAAACAGGAAGTGTGCTTTGTATTTGTTGTTGCATTTTAGAATAGAAATGTACATTTTAAACTCTAGTATACTGACTATATTTAGTCAGCAGGATAATCTCCACATTTTAACACCACTTTATTAGTTCTGAAGTAAATAGCTAACGTTAGGCTCTAAATGAACTACAGCACGGTCACATGACTTCACGACACCACCGCTAAGCTAAAGGCGGCTAATGTTGGGCTATAAAGGAACTACAGCACGGTCACATGACTTCACGTCACCACCGCTAAGCTAAAGGAGGCTAATGTTGGGCTATAAAGGAACTACAGCACGGTCACATGACTTCACGTCACCACCGCTAAGCTAAAGGCGGCTAATGTTGGGCTATAAAGGAACTACAGCACGGTCACATGACTTCACGTCACCACCGCTAAGCTAAAGGAGGCTAATGTTGGGCTATAAAGGAACTACAGCACGGTCACATGACTTCAGGTCACCACCGCTAAGCTAAAGGTGGCTAATATTGGGCTATAAAGGAACTACAGCACGGTCACATAACTTCACGTCACCACCGCTAAGCTAAAGGAGGCTAATGTTGGGCTATAAAGGAACTACAGCACGGTCACATGACTTCACATCACCACCGCTAAGCGAAAGGTGGCTAATGTTGGGCTATAAAGGAACTACAGCACGGTCACATGACTTCACGACACCACCACTAAGCTAAAGGTGGCTAATGTTGGGCTATAAAGGAACTACAGCACGGTCACATGACTTCACGTCACCAACGCTAAGCTAAAGGTGGCTAATGGGCTATAAAGGAACTACAGCATTATTTAGACTTGTTTGGCTGCTTGTCTCCACATTAAAGCCACTTGAAACCAGCCTGATGATTGTCTCTCTGTTAAATATTCCCAATCATGAGCTGCAGAGTGTCTGATGCTCTTAAAGACATTTCAATGCATCTCTTCTGTTGGTTTATTCAACACACAAAGAGAGAGCCATTATTTCTAGCCTTGAGCCCTTCTCTCACAGGCTAATGTAATACCATGCTGCCTTAAGCTTATCATCGAAACCAACAAACAAACAGTTTAATCTGGAAATATGTGCACAAACAACAATAAACACAAAGCAAAACAAATAAATGTCAGCGCCTCTCCAGCCTGCGTTTCCAGGGCTCATTGCACGTTTTCTGGAAAGATGAACAATGAAGGGATGATTCAGAGAAAGCCACGACCCGAGGCGGTTTCTCAGACTTCTCCAGTCAGATTGAAGTGGAATCTGATGTCCTTCAGACTGAACGCTCTGACAATAACAAGTCTTCAAAGGTCCGTCCCGCTACTGAAGGCTGCGTTAGAGTTCAGCTATATAACAAAAAATTTAAGTTAAAAATGTCAGTAAAAGAACAGGTAGAAAAGGATCGCAATTCATTTGGAGAGTATGTGAACAAACGTGATTAACATTTCTGAAAAACAATATCAAAAAGTATTTACATTTGCAAAAAGGTCTTAAAAAATGTCCAGAAATATGTTAAAGGAGCTCAAGTTCAGGTTGATATTATTATTTAGTGTCTTAATATAAACCTGAACTCGAACTGAATGGGTCTCCTTTGAAAAGTCACTAAATAACAAATAAATCTACAATCTATACAAGCTTTCTCCGATCGGTGATGAGCTTAGGCTTTCCCGCTCTGAGTGTGTGTGTGTGTGTGTGTGTGTGTGTGCGTGCGTGTGTGTGTGCGCGTGTGTGTGTGTGCGTGCGCGTGTGTGCATGTGTTTGCGTGCGCGTGTGTGTGTGCGTGCATGCGTGTGTGTGCACGTGTGTGTGCGTGCGTGCGTGTGTGTGCACGTGTGTGTGCGTGTGTGTGTGCGTGTGTGTGTGTATTCTCCGGGAACATAATGAACTATCCGTCCTCTCAGATAAGACGGTGTTTGGTATTGCATCGCTCCCCCACCACACGTCACACATAGGTTAATTAGATGACAGGCGATTCGATGGAGATAGATCCAGAAAAGGGGGAGGGGATGTTTGTAGAAATAACCCTTTGCAGCTCTATTAGAATCTCCCTGGTATTACTAATAAGAGGATAGGAAGAATTGACCAATAGTATTTGCTCGGTAACAGCTGATTTGTTTGAGCTAGATTTGCCTAAATGAACTCCATAGTAAAAAGGCGATTAATGTATGTACATGTGGACTCATTTCTAAATTGTTCTCAGGAAGATCAAGGATCAAACTGGGATAATGTTAAACTGGGAAAAGACAGACAGGACTTTAAAGCAGGAAATAACAGACATTAATTATAATTATAATGCAGAAAGGAGAGAATCAAACCCAGGGATTAACCTGAGCTACTATACTCTGAGGATAGATTGAGGACGAGCATAAAAGGACCAATTCAGGAATGAAGGATGGTTCTTTAGGAAAAACATCCCAGGAACTCATGAGGAATTGAAGGTCCTGTAAAATAATGTGTTTCCCAAAAACATTTGTACACAGACCTGATTTGTGTCGTCAAAAATGGAAAGCCTCTTCCCTAAATGACTGCCACCAAGTCGGAGAGAATATATATCATCGTAAACCGTAAGGTGTACTCAAGCTTGCTTTTTCTAACATGTTGTGGCCTAATCCAGAAAGTATGTCGACAGGGTGGTCTTCATGCATAAGGCATAGTATATACACCTAGACCTTTTAAGACCTGGGAAAAAGAAACGTGTAGTTGTTATTTTGTGTTCACAATCATGTGTAGGGGTCGGTTTGGAATAAAAGAGTAAACACAAAGATCTGGATCCTGACTGAGTAGAAGTGATGGTTAAATGGTTAAAGGAGATACAAAAACTATAGGCACTTTTTCTACTCCTCTCATTGGTACATTTTCAGCGTTTTCCTCCACTAGCGACTGCTTCTATTGATGCTTATGGACTAGATGTATTTTCTGCATGAACTAATATCCGTGCTTCACACCATCAGAGAGTCTTCACGCCTCACTGAGGTCTCCGATGATTCACTGTTTGTTAGTCAGCGAGTCTCCATTAACCCCGAGATGTTGGAGGTTATCTTCTGCCTGCGTGTCAGACCTGAGAGGGCTCCTGTGTTTTGTAATGGAGAGACTTTCCTGCAGGATTTATGAGTTTTCAGGATGACAGCGTAGGTTAATGGGCTCCACACAGAGTATGAGAAATGGAAAGCAAGTTATATTATAATCACCACTGATGCCAGTCCGTACCGTTACGTAATGAAGCCACTCTTACGGTCAATGCAAGACTCTTTGTGAGTCTTTTCAGGAAAGCATTGTTTGCTCAACTCATTGGAAACAAGTCCAAGTCCAGTATTTTATTAATATTGAGATGACTAGTCTTTTAAAATAAGTCTAGTTTAAGTCACATGTGTGGAAAAGTTAACATTTTGAAACTTGCCATATAGAAAAGTGAACAGTTCCAGAATGAGTTGAAATGTATTCAATCAATTCTTCAGAGACTCTTTAAAAATCTGAGTCTATTGTTAATTTGTCCGATTAATTATTTGTCTGGTTTCAGACAGAGGGTGAAAAGAGGTGCAGCAGCACAGGCAGTGTGAGAAAAATAAAGAGAGAAGTCTCTTTAAAAAGCATAAGTCTTAAACTGCAACCATGTGGAGTTCCTCAGGGTGCTGTTCTCGGCCCATCGCCATTTTTAATTTCCACCAACAATATTACAGTAGTAGTTATAGTCTGGAGCAAAACTAAAGGTTTAAAGTTAGTAAGCTGCCACTTTAAATTGAGTAAACTGAATTAAAGGTGATTCAAAGACTATCTATACAAGGACTCTTTAAAGTAGAGGGACTACATACTGACATACACCTGAACATTAGCAGGAGAGGACTCTTTAAAGTAGAGACACTACACACTGATATACACCTGAACATTAGCAGGAGAGGACTCTTTAAAGTAGAGACACTACATACTGATATACACCTGAACATCAGCAGGAGAGGACTCTTTAAAGTAGAGACACTACATACTGATATACACCTGAACATCAGCAGGAGAGGACTCTTTAAAGTAGAGGGACTACATACTGATATACACCTGAACATCAGCCGGAGAGGACTCTTTAAAGTAGAGACACTACATACTGATATACACCTGAACATCAGCAGGAGAGGACTCTTTAAAGTAGAGACACTACATACTGATATACACCTGAACATCAGCAGGAGAGGACTCTTTAAAGTAGAGACACTACATACTGATATACACCTGAACATCAGCAGGAGAGGACTCTTTAAAGTAGAGACACTACATACTGATATACACCTGAACATCAGCAGGAGAGGACTCTTTAAAGTAGAGACACTACATACTGATATACACCTGAACATCAGCAGGAGAGGACTCTTTAAAGTAGAGACACTACATACTGATATACACCTGAACATCAGCAGGAGAGGACTCTTTAAAGTAGAGACACTACATACTGATATACACCTGAACATCAGCAGGAGAGGACTCTTTAAAGTAGAGACACTACATACTGATATACACCTGAACATCAGCAGGAGAGGACTCTTTAAAGTAGAGACACTACATACTGATATACACCTGAACATCAGCAGGAGAGGACTCTTTAAAGTAGAGACACTACATACTGATATACACCTGAACATCAGCAGGAGAGGACTCTTTAAAGGGAATCATTATCTTATCACAGACTTCATTGAGATAACTTGTAGAAAGCTTTGTGGCAGCAGCTTGTCTCACCTGTCTCTTGGTGTGTTCGCTGATCTCTCCCGGCATGTCGTGAGCGCTTTTGATCAGCGTGCGGGCGATGTGGTAGTAGTACACGGAGATGATGGTCAGAGGAATGAGGAAGTACACCAGGAAAATCATCACAGAGTGGATCTTAGGATGCAGTTCATTGGACAGCGGGTACGGCACGCAGTTCACAAAGGTCCCGTTCGTTAGATCTCCGTGACTCTAAGGGGGGAGGAAGCAAGGAGAGAGGAGACATCACATGACATGTCACTTGTTAGACGCTTTTATCCAAAGCGACTCACATACTCAATACTGTGGGCAATCCTCACAGGAGCACTTTGGGGTGAAGAGTCTCAGGGACACAACGACATGCTGACTGCAGTGGGACTCGAACAGGGACAGTGCAGAATGATAAACATGTCTGTAGCCATGTTTCATCTGCAGTCGACAGAAGTCACGCTAAAAACAAGTGAATACAATCAGTAAAAACATGCAACAAAGAGGCTTACAACACTGGGAATGCTGATCAAAAACAAAACATAAAAGCAAGACAGCACCAGTACAGACGGACAGAGGGTTGTATCAGAGCTGCCAGCTGACCCCTCACTGTGTTTCAATGGGATTTAAAATAACTGAATGTGTTTCCTTCTCTGATTGTTGCTGGGATTAAGGTCCTTTGTTGTGCAGCTTTAACACAACATGTAGATTGAGTAATCTCCTCTTTCCCACCTGTTGTTAACCTGTATTGTACATTTCATTTATATAGCACACTTTAAAAACAACCTCAAGGTGCTTCACAATGCTATGAGGAGCTTATTGAATAACATATGGTAATATGAAAAAGGTGAAGAGCATAAAGGACAGTCAGTAACATGTGGAGCGGAGCAGGTGGGCTTTGAGGCTTTTCTTAAAAACGTTTCTTATATAGCGTTGTCTGGTGATAAACTGTCTGAGCGGAGGTGAGGTAAGGACGTGTTTAATCAATGAGAGGAAAGGAAGCATAGGAGAGGAGACAAGGAGAGGAGGACAGTCAGGAGGTCACAACACATCAGTGATTGCAGAGTCCAGTGGGAGTTCATCGTAAATCTGAGAGAGAATCAGTTTATCGCTGTCGGGGGAACGATAGTGACGGAGATCCAGGATGAGCCTTCAACAGGAAGTGATGAACGGCTAACAGTCAACAGGAAGTGATGAACGGCTAACAGTCAACAGGAAGTGATGAACGGCTAACATTAAACTGGAAGTGATGAACGGCTAACAGTCAACAGGAAGTGATGAACGGCTAACAGTCAACAGGAAGTGATGAACGGCTAACAGTCAGACTGAAACCAAACAAGGTCACCAACTACATCTGCCAGGATCTCATCATGTGGCCAAATCCAGCCGGGTTAGGGTTAGTCGAGCCAACTTTAAGGTCATAATGAAACAATAAACAAGGAAACATGTAAACAAATGCAGATGTTGCTTGCAGAACACAGGCCTATAAGACAGACATAACTTTGTGTCATTTAAGTATATGCAGATGACACCATTTTACTTATTGAACACTTTGGGTACATTTTTAATTATGTTGCATTCTTAACAAAGACAGTTATATATATATATAGTGGTATATGAGCAGTGGTTGTTGTTCTGAAGCGGTGTTGTGTTTCTGTGTCTGTGTTGTACCTGCATGGTGACGACTTGTGAGAAGATGGCTTCAGGAACAGCCAGCAGGACGGAGAGCAGCCAGATGGAGACGGCCTTCAAACACGTCCAGAAGACAGCGCTGGACGTCTGGATGTCCATCGGGTTCACGATCGCCTTGTACCTGACGGAGACAGAGAGAAAAATATCTATTGAGGCCCTGTAACCACTTCCTGTACCCTAGTATTCCAACCCAGTCTCAAGGCATTTCGTGTTCACCAACACGATTTTTAATCTATTGATTCGTGTTCCCCAACACGATTTGCCCCTTTTTTTTCGTGTTGCACAGCACGATTTATTTTCGTGTTGCACAGCACGATTTTAAAAGCAATGTATTTCTACTGCCTGCAGCACGTCTTTTTCTCCGGTCGGGTCGTGGAAGACCGGAAGCTGTGTGGTTCATAAAAACATGTTCTTACTCAATATCAAGCCACAATTATTGCTTTTATTTTAAATCGTATAATTTCGGACTTTTGTTGCCGTCTGTGAGGAAACTAAATGGGGCTCAGAGCCTCAGAATACTGAAATCTGTATTTTTTAAATATTTGTTTCCTTCTAATTTGTTATTCTTTTCAAAAATAACACACTGTTATTTACTCACCAATAATACACAATTATGCTTGATTTTATTTATTGGTTTAATTCCATAATCTCGGGCTTTTTTGGCCTCCGTCAGGAACTGAATTTCAAAATAAAAATAACCGGACATAGGCATTACCCAAGATCCTCAGCTATGGTTTTAAGCTCGTTTATTGGATGTTTTAGCCGCAATGCATGCTGGGATTTGGTGTTTATATGATATGAAATCCGGAAAACATTTGTGTACCTTGTGTGCATCTAGTGGTTAAAGCACGTTATTGAATTATTGTGTTTGATTAAAAAAATATTAAGAGTACATACTTTCATAGGGGGAAAGTATAAATATAGAAATATAGAATATAAAAAATCAAGAAGATACTATAAAGTGATCTCTACAATAAAACAGTTTAGTGCAGAATGTACAAATATATTAATAGGAGGTGCAAAACAGACAAACTAATTAACCTTTATTTAAACATTAAATAACAGATTAAGGTCTTCTTTTAAATAAGAAAAAAACTTTGGGGGTATCTATCTACAGATAAATATTAAGCCTGACAAAGTACTTAACGTCTAATATATTGCTTTCCTGCAATGTTAACTATGTTGAAGCACTTATTTTAACTGATATTATACATATGAATTATACTCTTATGTAGATAGAATAAGAAATGTGCAGAATATGACAGTTTAATGGTGGAGGGACACACATAGTGATAGATGTCTTGTAATGCGCTGTTGAGGAACCTGTGACCCAAGCTTTTCATTCATTGCATAACTACACCGTAGTTGTGTATATGATATGTCAATACACCTTTGAAAATCTTGAAAGGGATGTGCAAAATAGCCATAATATACAGTCTTTAATTAACTATTAGTAGAGAATAACGAGTAATGAATATACTTTATTACTCGTTTCCATTCATGTCAATTGCAGATACATGTTTAGTCTTCTCAAGCACCAACTATCAAATATCTCTCCTGATTGTTGGCACTTGACAATCACCTTCCCTGAATTTTACTCAGGTGTAACTAAAGTCTGATTTAAGGGTTGTTTATATTTCACATAATTAATCAGAATCTGCAAAGTAACTCAAATAAATGCAGTGGAGTAAAAATACCAGGTTAACCTCTGAATTGTAGTGGAGTAGAATTACAAAGTAACAATGAGCTGTCATGTGGGTATATAAAGCGATTTTCACCCATTTATTAATTATAATAAATAATATATATAGTTTTACATTTGATAACGCCAATGTGTTTAATACTGGCAACTTCTAATTGTGGGAAAAACGAAAACGTTCAGTCGAGACGTCCCATAGAACATTTGGCGAAACACAATAGCCAGCATGTGTAGTTCTGGGGGGGCGTTGGATTCCAGTTTTGGATAGTCTGGCGTGGTTTCGTTCCATTTCACACAGCTGATTGACGCTCTGCGTAACCTTACGGGGGACTGTAGTCCTAAATGATAGCTGGGGATTATGGGTAGTGTAGTGTCTTCGGCCATCCTAAACTCAGAAAGGTTGACAATCGCAATGATGCTCGAAATGTCCCTTATAGTCCTACGTCTGTTTCCGGTTATTTTATTTTGAAATTCAGTCCCTGACAGAGGCCAAAAAAGCCCCAGATTATGGAATTAAACCAATAAATAAAAGCAAGGATAATTGTGTGTTATTGGTGAGTAAATAACAGTGTGTTATTTTGAAAAGAATAACAAATTAGAAGGAAAAAAATATTTAAAAAATACCGATTTCAGTATCCTGAGGCTCTGAGCCCCATTTATTTTCCTCACAGACGGCAACAAAAGTCCGAAATTATGCGATTTAAAATAAAAGCAATAATTGTGGCTTGATATTGAGTAAGAACATGTTTTTATGAACCACACAGCTTCAGGTCTTCCTCGACCCGACCGGAGAAAAAGACGTGCTGCAGGCAATAGAAATACATTGCTTTTAAAATCGTGCTGTGCAACACGAAAAAAAGGGGGAAATCGTGTTGGGGAACACGAATCAATAGATTAAAAATCGTGTTGGTGAACACGAAATGCCGTGAGACTGGGTTGTTAATGGTGGATTTAGAAACGGCAGGTTGCTAACAAGTGTCTAAATGAGAAGATTAAGCATCATCACACACAACATTAGCCACCTTTAGCTTAGCGGTGGTGACGTGAAGTCATGTGACCGTGCTGTAGTTCTTTTATAGCCCAACATTAGCCACCTTTAGCTTAGCAGTGGTGACGTAAAGTCATGTGACCGTGCTGTAGTTCCTTTATAGCCCAACATTAGCCGCCTTTAGTTTAGCGGTGGTGACGTGAAGTCATGTGACCGTGCTGTAGTTCCTTTATAGCCCAATATTAGCCTCCTTTAGCTTAGCGGTGGTGACGTGAAGTCATGTGACCGTGCTGTAGTTCCTTTATAGCCTAACATTAGCCTCCTTTAGCTTAGCGGTGGTGACGTGAAGTCATGTGACCGTGCTGTAGTTCCTCTATAGCCCAACATTAGCCTCCTTTAGCTTAGCGGTGGTGACGTGAAGTCATGTGACCGTGCTGTAGTTCCTTTATAGCCTAACATTAGCCTCCTTTAGCTTAGCGGTGGTGACGTGAAGTCATGTGACCGTGCTGTAGTTCTTTTATAGCCCAACATTAGCCACCTTTAGCTTAGCAGTGGTGACGTGAAGTCATGTGACCGTGCTGTAGTTCTTTTATAGCCCAACATTAGCCACCTTTAGCTTAGCGTTGGTGACGTGAAGTCATGTGACCGTGCTGTAGTTCCTTTATAGCCCAACATTAGCCTCCTTTAGCTTAGCGGTGGTGACGTGAAGTCATGTGACCGTGCTGTAGTTCCTTTATAGCCTAACATTAGCCTCCTTTAGCTTAGCGGTGGTGACGTGAAGTCATGTGACCGTGCTGTAGTTCTTTTATAGCCCAACATTAGCCACCTTTAGCTTAGCAGTGGTGACGTGAAGTCATGTGACCGTGCTGTAGTTCCTTTATAGCCCAACATTAGCCGCCTTTAGCTTAGCGGTGGTGACGTGAAGTCATGTGACCGTGCTGTAGTTCCTTTATAGCCCAACATTAGCCACCTTTATCTTAGCAGTGGTGACGTGAAGTCATGTGACCGTGCTGTAGTTCTTTTATAGCCCAACATTAGCCACCTTTAGCTTAGCAGTGGTGACGTGAAGTCATGTGACCGTGCTGTAGTTCCTTTATAGCACAACATTAGCCGACTTTAGCTTAGCGGTGGTGACGTGAAGTCATGTGACCGTGCTGTAGTTCCTTTATAGCCCAACATTAGCCTCCTTTAGCTTAGCGGTGGTGACGTGAAGTCATGTGACCGTGCTGTAGTTCCTTTATAGCCCAACATTAGCCTCCTTTAGCTTAGCGGTGGTGACGTGAAGTCATGTGACCGTGCTGTAGTTCCTTTATAGCCTAACATTAGCCTCCTTTAGCTTAGCGGTGGTGACGTGAAGTCATGTGACCGTGCTGTAGTTCCTTTATAGCCCAACATTAGCCTCCTTTAGCTTAGCGGTGGTGACGTGAAGTCATGTGACCGTGCTGTAGTTCCTTTATAGCCCAACATTAGCCTCATTTAGCTTAGCGGTGGTGACGTGAAGTCATGTGACCATGCTGTAGTTCCTTTATAGCCCAACATTAGCCTCCTTTAGCTTAGCGGTGGTGACGTGAAGTCATGTGACCATGCTGTAGTTCCTGTAGTTCCATTAACAAAGCTAAAGCTAAAGGAGGCTAATGTTTAGCCTCCTTTAGCTTTAGCTTTGTTAATGTCGGTCTCGCCCAAAGTTTATCTATGACAGAAACTGTGATTACAGAGACTGAAAACCTGTTGGAGCAGATCGGCCAGCAGACGTGAGTGTTGGACTTTATCTCTGTGTGAGAATCCGTCTACAGTGGTGTTTCTTTAAAGAATTCGACCGTGTCCATCTTTGTTTACATATGAAAGGAAACAGAAGATGCTGATTTCCAACAAGTTATTATATACTGCATCATTTGTGTATAAAAGCTGCATGTATCTTGGTGTCAGGATGTTGAACTGTGTTTGAGTTTCTGCTTCCAGCTGGACTGGATTCGTCCTCCAGATTTGACTCTGATTTCTCGTCTCTAAACAAAAACTCTTCTTGCTGTGTTTCACTCAGGGCCACAGAGTCGTCCCCCTCTGTCATAAATCGTACATCTTTGTGCCGTATCACACTTCATGTCTTGGTGATGAGTTATTGATTATTAATGTCAGGTATAGGAGATAGACAGCGTGTCTATACCACACAGAGTGCAGTGAAGAGCTGTGAAAGCTGGTGAGATGAACCTGGTATGAGCAACAATGGAGGCAACAGGACTGAAGGAGGAAGCATGGAGGGAATACAGAGTGACATCAAAAGGGACATCAGTGAGTGTGCAGGAGAGTAAACACATCAAACTGGGGAAAGCATTTATTCAGGAGCTGGATATTTGTACGAGACATTGTGCGTCTTCCACCTTCCTCATGGTGCGCTCACACTATATTACGTAACGTTGTATTGCAATGAGAGCAGCATCCG